CTAGGGCCCGCCGGGACCACGCCCTCTCGAGCAGCCAGCCAATCCCCTTCCCGGGCCGTGACGTCACCGCGTACCGTCCGGCAGTTCATCCACGTGGCGTCACAGCAACGCCCACCTTGCATCCGGGTCTTGTGGCTCCCGCCTCGTCAGCCCGCTCGGGGCGCCCGGGGTTCAGTCCGCTCAGGGAACCCAGGGCCGGGAGCGAGGAGTGGCCGCGCCACCGAGCCCCTCCGGACACTTTCAGCTTTCCCCGCCGGTTCTCCTTCTCCCCGATGGGGCGCCCAAGAAACACCCCGCAATGGCTTGGCGCCCCCTGTGTCGCCTCAGTGATGCCTCCGCCTTCCCGTCGGCCTCCCACTTCCGCTGCTGGAAAAGCACTTCCGGGTCGAGAAGGCCGTCGATGCACGACGGGTTGCTTAGCGCGAGGGGCCTTTTCTCGCGAGCGTTTTATGTTGTTATTAGCTAGCGGGGCTGGTAACTATTTTATTTATTTATTCAGTCATTATTATTAGTTGCCCGGGCTGCAGTTTTTCCCAGCCTATTTTCCTGGGGGGGGAGGGGGGAAGAAGAGGGGATTGGACTACAGGTCCCATTGTCCCCAGCCTTAAGTTTTTCTTTCTTGAAACGTCAGTCTCGAGTCCCTCTTTCTTTGGCATTATCTTTGCAAAATTAAAGCAAAAGCTGAAAATACACAGAATTTAAAAGGAAAAGGAAAAGAAGGCAAAACTGTTTTTTCTTTAAAGTTAAGGAATAGTAATTGGGAGTGTATAGACATAAGAATACATATGTGATCCCGAGAGCTTATCTGTATTATCTGTGTGTGTATATACATATATACACACACATGTATATGTGTGTGTGTGTATAAAATGCTATTTATATAATAGCATTTTTTAAAAATGTTAGTTTTCTCTTCTGCTCTTTCTCCCAGAACAGTGGAAACAAGCAATAAAACAGTCTTAAATAAAACTCATCAATAAACTAATATTTCTTAGTATCAAAAGTAAAACCCCTATAGCCCAAGAGCCCTTTTTCTCTTTAGGGCTCAAAGTATTATACATCTAGTCTCCCTCATTTTATTTCCCGCTTCATGTTGGAACTGGCCCAGAGTCACCTATGGCTAAGGACTGTCTCCCCAGGCCCAGTTTGGCAGTGATGGCAGCTGAAGTTATTCATATCATTCCAGTCAGGACACATCTTAATGGGGCCACTAATAAGTAATGCCAACGGTCATAAAACTCCACCAATAATTTTTACCAAAAAGAAATAGCAGGACCATTTGGGGTAACTGTAATTCTGAAGCTAATTTTTGTGTAAATGAATAACTTTCAGGAACAGGGGAATTTGATAGTTGGATTGTTGGCAGATTAATGAAGGCAAGTGTTTTGTTTTTAAGAATCATCTGGTCTGAATGTACACACAGATGAAAAATGAATTGTCTCACTATAGTGGTGGGAAGACACGTTATCAGTTCTTGTCCTTTCCATGAACTCATTTGTACAAAGTAGACTAATTCTGAAAATTTACTTTATTGCATGCTGTAAAAATATTTAGAATGTATCTGAAATGGTTTGAATGTTGTAAAGCAAGACTGAGCAGAAGGTAGCCAGGAATCTACAGGGAGATGTCTGAAGACTTGGGGCAATTCAACAAGGATTGCATCTCCTTGTCTGACAATAGCAAAAACTGATTCCCCCACACATTATGCATTATACACTATTGCTGAAAATTAGAAGGCTAGGGGATACTGCTTTCAGAAATTCCTGATCTCAGAATTCTTTAATTCATAAACCCAGAATATTTTGTACTAGGCTCCAGTTGGTGGATATCAGAGTTCTTGTTAAAAAATAAAAAGCAAGTAAATTCTTCAAGCCTGAAATCTGCACATTCCTATTCTAAAACCAAGAGTTGTCCCACGTAACAGGTGTCTTTCTCCCATTATTTGAGCCATGTCAAGCAATCTTTCCAAATAATCTTAACTCCCTTTGTAACTAGACAAAACAATGAAATAAAAAAACAGAGTTACAGAAAGAACAATATTTCTGTCTCCCAAAATTTAATACACACTTTAGGTTGTGACTAAAGAGTCCCCAAACCAGAAAGGCAGGTTGAATTGTTTCAACACTCCATTTATCTTTTGGCAGAATCAAGGGCAAATTTCCCCACAGGAATTGTGTGTTACTTGGACTTTTATGTGTCTTCTGCTTTAAGAACATCTCTGCCTAAGCTTGCTCACTTTGCTATGTGTTTTTCTTTAATTCAAGCTGCTTGCCAGAAATCTCTAATTACAATTCCCAGGATTCCTATTTCCCATCTAATTATCCCAATATGTCATGAGGATACCAATGTGGAGATGGCTGATTTAATTTTCACTTTCAATGACTTCTAGTCCTGAAGCTCCACGTTCTCCAACCTAAATTATCTGGGTGGGTTCTTCACCATTTTTATGCCATCCTGACATAAAACACTGTATACATGAAAACAGTCAAAGTTCTCGGGATGGATTACAGTAGTAATAAAAACATTAAAGCTAATTTAGCACAATATGCTTAATCTAGTCTTAATCCTAAAGTTGAAAATCTAGTGGCTGCATTTCTACCACTCATTAACTTTTATCTTCATTTAGTTTTTCTGAGATTTCACATGTGGTGCAAACCCATCCCACTTGGCCATTTTATGATTCAGTGTATTGTGAGAATCTTTTAAAATAATTTACTGTAGTAACTAAGTTAAGTGTGATGTATAAATTAAGCCTATTTCTTCTAACAACATTAAAAGGAAAGAAAATAATAAAGCCAATAAACAGTACAGGAAAACTATATTTTCATTACTTCAGTGTGGAGCTGACTGACACTGAATACAAAAGTATAAAAATTATAATAATGCTATTGACCATCAAAAAGTAGACAAGTATTTGTGCCCCTTCTCTCAGATTTATTGGGACAGAAGATTGTGTTGAGGTTAAAGATTAGTATAGTAGAAAAAATGATAGAGTGCATGTTTATTTTAATTAATTAATTAATTAATTAATTAAAATTCTCCCCTGCCCATCTCCCCCCAATGGGGGAACTCTGGGCGACTCACACAAAACATTAAA